CCCCAGGGGCCGGGTAACCCCCCAGCTTCCTCAGCTCGGCTATATGCCATTGTTTCTTACGTTCCACTTCTCTTGCCACAGCTTCTCTTTCCTCCCGGAGCTTCCTCCTCCACTCCTTGGCCTTGGTCTCACCCCAGTATGACGGGCGAGGCTTTAGTCCGAGTTGGCGGCGTTTCTCGGCCTCCTCATGGGGGACTCGGACCTGCTCCCACTTGTGGGTCCAAGGATCCTCCATCCAGATCCACTCCCATCCCCCCGGTATCTCTCTTGGCTTTCCCCTTATATTTCCCGCCGCCGCCTCAATCTCCTCCCTCCCTCTTCCCGCCAAAGACTTCCCGGGTCCCGGGGAAAAGGTTAACCCTTTCAGAGTCGCCTCCAGGTCTTGGGTATCTACTCCCTTATTCAAGGTAAGGGGTTTGGCGACCACTTGCTCCCAATCTGGGGTCTCCACGCCTTTCTCTTCCCGACACGTTGGGGACGGAGGTGGGGATGTCTGGGTGTGTAGGGTTCTCTTTGAGAGCGACGGCACTCCCACTAAGGCCTCCACTTTGGGGCCTCACAACTACAGCAAAATATTTGTCTGTGTGAACATGAGAAACTGTGGGTTATTCTGAAAGAAATATGTGTGTCTCAGTGCTTGATTGTCCTGATGCGAAACCTGTATTATGGAGAAGAGCCTATTTTTAGGAAAGAATATGGATAGACAGAATGGTTTCCTGTAGGCAAAGGTATCAGATGGGTGGATTCTCCCGCCCCAGCTCTTCAATTTATACGTTAAATATATCATACAGAAAGCTGGACTAAATTCAGATGAGGAAGGAGTGAAAATTGGTGGAAGAAAAATGACTTGAAATGACAATTGAGGGTGAAAGTGAAAGAAGAAAGTGTCAAAGCAAGACTGCAGCTGAACACGAAGGAGACAGAAATCATGACTACAGAAGAATCATACAACCTTAATGTTGACTATGAAGAAATCCAAATTCCTAAAGATTTTTGTATATCTTGGTTCAATCACCAATCCAAATGGAAGCTGCAGCCAAGAAATCAGAAGAAGATTGAGACTCAGAAGGGCTGCAATGGAGGAATTAGAAAAGATATCAAGTGCAAGGATGTGTCACTGGAGACCAAGTCCAAGATCGTCCACACCCTTGTATACCCAATCATCATGTCTGAGTGTGCAAGTTGGACAGTTAAGAAAGCTGACGGGGAGAGCTTTATGGATACCCTGGACCACCAGAAAGACGAACAAGTGAGTCCTAGGTCAAGTCAACCCTGAACTATCTCTGGAAGCAAAAATGTTGAAACGGATGCTCTCCTACTTTGGGCCCATCATGAGAAGACAAGATTATCTGGAAAAGGCAGGTATGCTGGAAAAGGTGGAAGGCAGCGGGCAAAGAGGAAGACCAACTGCAGGATGGCTTTGACCCCTAAAGGAAGTCACAGGCTTGGTGTTTACAAGAACTCAACAGGGCTGTTGAGGACAGGACATCCTGGAGATCACTTATTCATAGGGGCGCCCCAAGTTGGTGGCGATTTGGGGGCAGGTAACTAAAGCAAACAATTCACAGGGTTGTCATAAGTTAAAGGAGGCTTAAAAGGGCATAAGGACATTTTGCAACTATGACTAATGTAATAGCCTTAACAGATCAAATCCATGGCCATCTGGTCTAGCATCTTTTTGTTTTTCAGTCTGTGGAGAATGTGTGTATTGTACACAGGTAACTTTTTTAAAAAAAAATCAGGAATATATTGAATGGCTACACTTTTTTTAGTTGTTTAAAGTATATTTTGGCACTACAGTTCAATCTCTGCAGCCATGAGGAGGTAGAAGTACCATCTCTTGTGACTTTTCCACACACCATATGCATTTTATTACCACCAAAAGTTCTGTCTGCTTGGACTTCATGCACAGAAACAGACCACAGAGAAAATAGCAGCCCTTTTGAAATATACTGTTAACTTTGGGCTGTGCTGCCATCTGGTGAGACTTGTGTAAAATGCAACCAGCCCGCCTAGCTTTCTGTTTCTAAGGTCCCTTAGTGGGATAGGAAATGAGCGTTTGCAGCATTATCTCTGTACAAAGACGTTAGACTAGCAATTATGCTAGGTTTAAAGGGTGAGAAAACCCAGATATTCATGTGTATACTAACCAGATGTATACTAAAAAAGCTGCCACTCAAGAGCTAAGCTATCCAAATCTTTGTTGGGAAAAAGCCCCTTGGTCAGCCCTACATGGAAACAATAATTCTCTTTTTCTGCTTTAAATCAAACTGTTGTCGGAAGAAGACAGGTTCCAGAGCAGGCTCCTTGTTTTGGTAACTGTCATAATATAAGCCACAATTCTTTTTCTGGAATACCTTCGTAAACCTCACCTTATGATACTATGCAGCGTTACACACATTTAATCCATTTGTTTGAATAAGGAGGTTTTGCATGGCGGATTCTGCACGGAAGCATCTTCATCATGCTTTGAAAAAAGGGACAACAGGACTTGCAAAGAAGAAAAATTGTGAGACTACCAAATAGGTTAGAACTTCAGATGAAAATTGAAAGAGTCTACCGGAATATGTCAGATAGGCTCGTAGCAGGGGGTGCCTATTTTGTTTATTTTAAAAGCAAAAAAAAAAAAAAATGACCATACACTCAGGAAAATGTTTTGCTTTCTTTGTGGTTATCCAAGCTCTATAAGATGTCAGGCTCTGCATTTTTCTGTGGCTTTGACCTTGAACTGGGAAAAGCCAGTTGGAGGAAGGTTTCTGCTGGTTGACAGGCATGCCATCCATGCTTTTGCAACCTTGTGGGGAAAGTTTGCAATTTTGTTTAGAAACGTGCATGCAGATAGATAGACAGACAGATGCATGTGCAGATTTAATTTGGGACAAGAAGTGAAGATAGCCTGTGTGGTGTCAGTACTCCATAAAGCAGGTTGTGAAGCTGTCCTTGTGTGAATGATTTTTGTAACATCCCATTCCCATCCCAAACCGCTTTCAGGTGAGTTGGGCAAATCCAGTGTGTTTCTAAGCACATGAAATATGTGAGTGGGGAGTTGCAGGCTTGCCCCCTCTTCCCTTTGCCAACAATAGGAGTGAAATGAAATAGACCAGTGGAAAGAAGCTGTTGTAGGAAAACAATAGGAACCGGAGCATGGGCAGGCTCCTCATTTCGATCGCCATCATAATATAAGCCACAACTAGTTGCGTATAACACCAGGTCAAGGTTTGATAGAGCCGCCTCTGAAGTGGGGATTTGACCAATGTACCAAAAAAATGATGAAAATGATACTCAGCTTCCACCACAACAGCCCAGCAGAGAAACCCAAAGACCTGGTCAGGGTGGAGGCCATGCCACCAGGCTGAGAAGGCAGAAGTGGCCAGCAGAGGACAAGAAGCGTTCCGCTGGAATATGAGCCTTCTCGGCCACTGAGCCGTACTCTTGTTCCATGTTCGGGTGAAGACAGAAACCATGTGGGTTGTTTCTAGGGTCCAAATGTCTGTGTCTATGAGGAGTCCGTCCACAGTCTCTGTATTGGGATCCTGGCCTAGTTCCAGCCCCAGGCCAGCCGCAAGGAGGAGGGACTCATCAAGCATCCAGTGAGAGTAGTAAGTGAGCCTGAAGACCAGTGCGGATGTCCACATGACAGAAATACAGCCAAAATGAGCACAGCTAGTTAAATCTGCCTGAGAGCTGACATATTTTCTCACATTTTTCAAAAAGCTCAGAAAGAGAGCCCTTTAACCACCAGGCTGAGAAGGCAGAAGTGGCCAGCAGAGGACAAGAAGCGTTCCGCTGGAATATGAGCCTTCTCGGCCACTGAGCCGTACTCTTGTTCCATGTTCGGGTGAAGACAGAAACCATGTGGGTTGTTTCTAGGGTCCAAATGTCTGTGTCTATGAGGAGTCCGTCCACAGTCTCTGTATTGGGATCCTGGCCTAGTTCCAGCCCCAGGCCAGCCGCAAGGAGGAGGGACTCATCAAGCATCCAGTGAGAGTAGTAAGTGAGCCTGAAGACCAGTGCGGATGTCCACATGACAGAAATACAGCCAAAATGAGCACAGCTAGTTAAATCTGCCTGAGAGCTGACATATTTTCTCACATTTTTCAATAAGCTCAGAAAGAGAGCCCTTAAACCCCTTTGAGTTGCTCCCCAGAGAGACTGTGCAGAAAGTGACCCTCTGGAGCATCTTATCCATGTTTGAAATCTGTTGAAAGAACACAAGGGGCCTCCGAGGAGGGTTGGAAAGGAGAGCAGGTAAGTTAAAAAAGGCAGTGCCTGGAGGAGGTGCCTCTTCAGGGACCGCTTCTCTTCATCTGGCAACCCCTTCCTCACTTTCCTTTCATGGATATCCAAAGCCAGTGATGTGACCTTCTGGCTCATCAGCATGAGGGCAGAAAGATTGATGGAAAATCTGAAACACAGCAGAGGTAGCTTAAAGTTATACAACTATATACTTTTCATCTAGAAACGTATGAAGCTGCCTTACACTTGAGTCAAAACATTGACCCACCCACCCACACCAGCCCTGTATTGTCAACTCTGACCGGAAGCAGCTTTCTGGGGATCCAGACCGAATTTTTTCCTAGCCCTCACAAAAGTCCCCTGATACTTCCTCATCCAAATATCTCCTGATCTCCCATCCAAATACATATCAGGCTTGACTCTGCTGTATGACAAAATCATGTAAGAATAGCTGCATTTGGGGTGTTGCAATGGTCAGTTTGGAAAATCTGAAGTTCCAGGTCTTGACCATTCTTGAGTGTTACACTATTTTGATTGTCCAAAAGATTCTTGGGAATTGCAGTTTGGTGAGGATGCTGAAAACCCTCAGTAGCGTATCCCTCATCTCAGAGTTGCCTGGAAAGTGTGTGACTCAGTCTCCCTAAAATGCACTACTATTTTCATTGCAAGCCAAACTATACATTATAGAATACTACGTCATTAGAAGCTCAAAGCCAAAGATCCACAGGGGCCCCTCCAGCAGTGCAGTTCTAAGATGATGATGATGACAACAACACAATTTACACAGCAATCTTATGTGCACATTTAGGTGCAGAGGACTAATCACAAACCAAAGCAAACAAACAAACTGCAAGAAGTACAAAAAGCTTCTGCTGTGATAATCATATATCTTTCAGCACTTGAAGAATTCTTTCTTCTGTTGTGGGTTTTTCTGAAACGTGTGGTTTGCCCTTCAGAGTTTTTTATTGTGGGGATAATAACATATGCTGACAGAACATCTGAAGCCCTATTCAGTCATTCCTTGTCCAGCATCGTCAGTACAGATAGAGAGGAGTGTGGATGGGTCCCTGCTCATCTGTGGGCTCTACACATGAGTAAGAACCCTGGAAAACCTGAGCTCCTGCTCACCTGTGGCGCTCACACACAAGCAGGAACCTCTCCAGATTTATATCTGCTCACATGGACAAAGCGATGGGGAGGGGTTTGGGGAGCCTTCCAACTTAACTCCACCCATGTTGGCCATGCCGGATAAAACAACAACCAAGTAGAACCAAAGTACTGAATTAAAAATAATACAGTATAGCTTGCATTAAGGCGAAACAAGACATATTGTTTGAAACCATGATTCTTTTTAGAACCTGTGATATGGTGCAAAATCTCTTGGCCCTCATGTGTCAAATACTGCTCCTATATACAAACCTTTTAATGTATATAGATGGTTGGTGAACCTGTAAAATACATACACTGACATAAGGACAATGATATGAACTGCTGCTAGTTCACAAGTCACCATTTGCATCCTCCACACATCAGTTGTGTGAGCTGGTGTGCAACAAATGAGGCAAGTGGTGACCGTGGAAAAGGTAGCCCCGTTCTGAAGAAGTGTTTTCTTTTGTTTTGGCTTGAGATGTGGTGACTTGTTAATCAGGAGCATTATGCCACTGCACTTATGCCAGCGTAGCTAACTGATAGGATTCTGGCCATTGTGTTTGTGTCCTTGCTTCTGTTGGATGTAATTCTTATAGTTAGTTAGGCATCCTTCAGTCTCAGAAGACTATGGTAACATGCTCTGTATGGAGGACTTGGAACAGTGTCTAGTGTGGCTGAGGAGGCCAATTTGAGAGTGACAATCTGTTCCACACTGAAGACAAATCCAATCGGTCCCCTGTCCAGCTTTCTGGTTTTGCTGCTTTTGTGACTTCCTCTTTACCTCGGCCTGCTGGACAAAGGTCTCTTCAAATTGGGAGAGGCCGTGATGCACCGCCTGCCTCCAGGCTGAACGCTCAGATGTCAGGGTTTCCCATCTGTTGAGGTCTGTTCCTAAGGCCTTCAGATCCCGCTTGCAGATGTCCTTGTATCGCAGCTGTGGTCTCCCTCTGGGGCAATTTCCCTGCACTAGTTCTCCATACAGGAGATCCTTTGGAATCCGACCATCAGCCATTCTCACGACGTGCCCAAGCCAATGTAGCCGTCGCTGTTTCAATAATGTATGCATGCTGAAAATTCCAGCTCATTCTAGGACTACTCTGTTTGGGACTTTGTCCTGCCAGGTGATACCAAAAATCCGTTGGAGGCAACGCATATGGAAGGTGTTCAGCTTCCTCTCCTGCCATGCACAAAGGGTCCAGGACTCACTGCAGTACAGGAGTGTGCTCAGAACACAGGCTCTATAGACCTGGATCTTGGTATGTGT